ATGAGGGCAGGGCCTACGATCTGTTTCTAATCAATGAAATCTGGCAAAGGTGATGAAATGTCATGATTGATACTGGAGATTACACCTTCCAGCAAGCTGACTCCCTCCCTGGCCCGCCTTGATGAAGTAATAAGATGCCATATGGAGAGGCCCACGTGGGAAGAAACTGAAGTTGGGATCTGGCCAAAAGCCAACAAGAAGCTGAAGGCCTCAGTGCTGCAGGGAAATGAATCTCGACAACCACCTAGAGCTTGGAAGCAGGTTGTTCGTGAGTCAAGCCTCAGACAAGGCCCTGGCCCTGGCCCACACCCTCTCCAGTCCTGTGAGACCCTGGGCAGAGGAACAAGCCTTGCCTAGAATCTGTGAGATATTTGTGTTGTTTTAAACAGCTAAGATTGTGGTAATTTCTTGCTCAGCAAGAGTACCCCACATCATAGGGATACTACGACAATTAACTAGGGGGAAAAGTTAATGTATGAGTAAGGTGCTCAGCAGATAAGAGCTCAGTCAACAGCCCAGGCGCCCCCCCGGCACCTCCTCCTCTACGCTCCATGCTCAGGGGGGGTCTCAGCCAGGCCCCTTCTCCCTCACAGCAGCTCACCTGCTCCCACAGCTGCAGCTGCAGCTGTGCCCAGCCCCAGCCCAATCTCTCTCTCGGCCCGAGTTATGTACCCAGCCCGTCTCTAACTCAAGAAACCGAGGTTTCCCATATGCATCTCACTATTGCTCTTTCTAAACAGAACCCATCTTTCCTGCCTCCTAACCTACTCCCTAGTCCAGTTCCTTCCTGCTGACGGAATCACACTGCCCAGTCTCAGGCCCTACCCCGGATCTGCCCCCTCCTCACAGGTTACACACATAAATGTCAGTTAAGTGCTCGTGTCCAGTCCATTCTAACAAACATTTACTACCTGTTCCTATTCCTACTGCTACTGCCTTAATCAGGCCCTCACTGATCTGGAACTTGACAAAAGCTTTGGACAACCGGCTCCATATCCCCTCTATCCCTAGCCCACCCACCTCCACGCTACCTTCAGAGACCATTCTAAATGCCAGGCTAATCGAGCTTTCTGCTGCTCTGAACCAGCTGTGACTGATTTTACGGCAGCTACCATTTAGGAGTGCCCACCACGTTCCAGGCAACTATTCTACGTGCTTTATTACATGAAATTCTCCCATCCGATCCTCACAAGAATCTTTGTGGGGGCAGATAGTATCATCCTCCTCATTTTATAAAGACTAAGAATTAATTTAGGATTTAAATAATAGGTTATCACATCCCTTTAACCCAGGGGTGAGGCACCTTTCTTCTGCCAAGGGCCATTTGGATATTTATAACATCATTCTTAGGCCATATAAAATTATCAAGTTAAAAATTATCCATGAAAAAAGCTCCTGGATTCACTGAGTGTTGAGTCCCGCCTGCGGCTGCCTTGGCAGGGCCAGACCCAATGACTTCGAGGGCCGTGCATGGCCTGGGGCTGGACGTTGTCCACCCCTGCTTTAACCACCACAAAAACATCCAGTAGGACAGCAAACATTGCATGGCTGCTTCCTCTCCACCACAACCTACCATCCTCACCCTCCCCACAACTCCCAAACACCACGCTGCTTAAACTGCCTGAACAGAACCGCCTGCTTAGTCTCCAAGCCTTCACTGAGCCGTTCCGACCGTCCAACATGCTCCTTCCTCTACCACTATTGCCACCCCTTCCCCCCACTCTGCTCACCAGCCCCATATTTTCTTTCAGATTCAATCGCAGTAACATCGTTAGCTGTGCTATGCCCTGTCTTCCCATGCTTGCGTATATTTCTATGTTTCTCTTCAGATTTCACACCTCCACTGGATAGCAAGCTTCTTTACAGCAAGGACCGTGCATTCCTGGGAACCAGCTCTAAAGTATTTCTAAATAAAAATGAATAAATAATTCTAGAGTAGTAAAGGATTATTCTATACCCTTGTGAAGGCTGCTAAGAAGTCACACGCTTGACATCTACCACAGAGTTTCTTCAGGTTGTCCTCAAAGAAAGATCCCCAGGTTTTCCAACGTCATCATCTCCACGACAATACAGCTCTGCTTCATTCATCAGCCCTCCACCACCATTCAGATCCTCAACAAACGCAACCCCAAGGACTTGGTCCGACTGGACAGATACTCAGGTTCTACCTAGCTCAGATGTATGTCGCTCTAATACTACAGATTAGCACCAAATCTTTTCATGAATAAAACAAAGTGACTAGGAAGCCAACAGAGTAAAGTAACAAATATAGTTGATTATCAGAGCCTCCAAGTAACAGAGCTGGGTTCCCGGGTAACAATAAGCCAGGCCCCCCTGCCAATCCCTGGAGGGTGAAAACAACACTTACTAAAAATCACTACAATACCCTGGTTGGGTAGTTCAGCTGGTTAGAGTGTAGTCCTGATGCACCAAGGTTGCAGGTTCAATCCCGGGTCAGACACATACAAGAATCAACCAATGAATTCATGAGTAAGTGGAACAGATGGATGTTTCTTTCTCATTTTCAAGTAACTATAAGTTTGACTATTTTATACCTGAGCATGACCCAGTATATCCTGATTCATATTACTTATTTTTCACTTAATAATCCTCTTTCCACATTATTACAAATGCTTCATAAACATCAATATTGATGGCCAAAAAGCATTCCAACTTGTGAATTCACCATAATTTATATACTTACTATCTCCCAGGGTTTACTTTCTTAATCTCACAGATACACATTACTCCTTAGGCAATATATCTGATTAACCATCTGACTACACCCTTCTAATATAATGTTTTTGCATGCTTGCTAATACTATTTATTTTATATTTAAACACTGTCTTTTATTATTACTGAGTTGGAACTTTATTCATTCATGGATTGCCTACTCTATCATGCGCTATGTTAGACACAGAATGTAACAGTTGTTTAAAGATCAACATAGTCCCAGGACTACTATGAACTCAATTACCAGAAAGAATGAAGTCCCTATCGTACAGGGTTAACTTAAAAATTAGAGGACAACATATATATAAAGCACCCAACACAATACCTAAAGAAGCGCTCAACAAATGTATGCACCACAACCTGGGATGTGCCCTGACTAGGGACTAGGAGCCTTTCGTGTACAGGATGACACGCCAAATGACTGCGCCTGGCCAGGCTGTTATCTTTACGTACACACAAAATGAAAAACAGAGCTGTGAAAAGAACATGAGATTTGGGATCAGAAGACCTGTAATTCAAGTCCTGTCTCCACTAATGACTGTATGACCCTGACTGACCTCATTTACTAAATTACTTTGATTACAAAAAGGAAACTTCCTATATCCCTCCCATAGGGTTATTGTGAGGAAGTAAAGCAGCATCAACACATATAAGGAAGAGCTATGCAAACTAAAGTGCCATACAAGTATCAGTTACTGTTACCAACTAATCCAGATCTTTGTCCTGATGCTAAATATCTCCAACTAGAAATCACACTACTTCAAACTCATCATGTCCATATTTCAATTCAGTGCTTTTCTTTTAAAACTATTCCCTACCTTCTCTCAACAAAACCTATCATCCCCTTGTTACTCAAATCTTGTTATTTCTATTTAACTCCTATTCATTTTTTCCTTCATAACCCAACCCCTCATTTTGAAATGACAGCACCCTTATTTTAGAGCCTGACGATGCTCCTCGCTGCCTGTAAGCCTCCATCCTGCTCCACCTCTTCCCCAGCACTTCTACCAGTTACCACCATGGTCATGGTCCTCAGGCTGCTTCCTCAAGGAGGCCACAAACCAAGGCCCCATCATGTTCTGTCGTTTGTTTCTTTGCAGCTACCTCGCCTGACCTCACTTCAGCACCCAGATGATTTCACTTAATTTCATTATCTGCCTGCCCCTGGAAGCAGGTAAATTTGCTGACTTTGGCATAAAGCTAGATTGCCATTCCAATGGCAGACTTTGGGGTAACTCTGATCTCCTCTCCCCCACTGAGGTTCACCTAACCTTTACACGGCACTTCACCATCTATAAACTGAAATATTTCCTTTTACAGGGTGGACGAGAGGGATAGAAATGATGTACTTCAGATGTGTCCACAATGCAAAGAATAAAAGCTTTAAGAATGGCAGCAATCATAACTTCAACTCCACCATTCAAGGCCTTAATAATTATCCGTTTATCTTTCCAGAGTATCTCCAACTACTCCCCTGCCCAAAACCTATACTCTCTCACTTTACAAAGTCCTGCCAGGTAAAATTCCCCCATTTCTGCTTATTACTCATCCAAGTGTGGTCCAAAAGTACAGTCCTACTAGCACTTCTAGGAAGTCTCCCTTAATTCCAGGTGGCCCACAGTCTTCTTTTCTCCACTTCTGAACTTACAGAGCTCTTAATTCAGTATAGAAGGCGCTATCAATCATCTCGGAGGCGGGGGGACTTCACATCAAAGTGATACCGTTGTAATAACCTGATTATTAATCAGCTGGAAAGGAGTAAAGGGAGG